AGAGAATCGATGTCAGTAAAACATTCGATAAATGTGGTTATGAGGTTTTCTATTGATTGAATGATTGCACCCTTCCGGCTTGAAAGCAACAAGGTGAAAGGTTTGGCCCACAAATATTCAAGGGCTAATATACACCAATTTTTGCTAACTAATGTACAGGAGTAAAGCATAGAGGGATCGTCTGCATATTCGCCAAGAATTACTCTAAGAAGCTCGTAAGGCAAGGAAGAAGCCATACAAGAGAAGCAATGTAAACTGTGACGAATAAAATTTGTAATCAATGCAGTAAATTTAACCAATAGATTTACTGCAATAGTAGCTCACTGTAATTGTGCGCCCGTTGGAGAGTGGCACAAAACATTATATATTCTTTACTTGTTACGTTGTGTATTTCTATATCAGTTGAAATACGTACGTACAAACACTATAGTTTGGATATAAAGTAATTACCGTATTTCTCGGACTAAAGTACCCCCCCCCCTTGCATTAGTACCACCCCCACCATTTTGAAGCTCATGGAATGTAAAAGACCATGGTACACAGTGGCTCTCTTTATAGTGGACCTCTGCTACAGTGGATCTCAGTTATTGTGGAGAAATGTTTTTCCTCCTAATTAAACTAGCTCTATATAGTGTATTTATATAGAAACTATGCAGATTTCGGTTAGTGGAGGAAATATGCTTGATTGATTATAGTCTATATAGTGTATGTTTACTTGTTATAAAGAACTAAAAGAACTACGATAATGCGAGAGTTTCTATTATTTAGACAATGTGGATTGTTTGTTAATAATAAAAGATAATAATGCGAAAATTTTTTTCAGAAAAAGGGAATTATGTGAAAAAAAAAGAAACTTCCCCTCAATAAAAGGCTGAGAACTAGCAGAAGACTTTGGAATTAGTGAGCAAGCTGTCTCTAAAATTCTCAAAAGGTCTTCACATTGGTTACGCCTTGAACTAGAATCAACTGCCACCAGATTCAAACACGATTGAAAAAGCAACTTTCCCGAAATTGAAGAAGTGATGATAATTTGGGTTGATCAAGCCATTGCTCAAGGGCTTACGCTAAAAGGGCATATGGTTTGCTGGAAGACTTGGTGTTCAAGCCTTTAATGCTTCCGATGGATGGCTTGCAAAGTTTAAAAAACGAAATAGACTTAGCTCATATAAATGAAGAGGAGAATTGGCAAGTGCCCCAATTGAAGAAATTTCACGATTCGGGTAGAATTGCAAGAGGTTCTTCATGAGTATTCTCCAGAAAATATCTTCAACTGCGATGAGACAGCGCTTTTTTGGAAACTCGAGCCAAGTCGAACTCTCGCCCATGGACCTGTAGCTGGAAAGAAAATGTCTAAAGATCATGTTAGTATTATGGTAACATGCAGTTCAACGGGAGAAAAATTGCCTTTACTATTTAGTATGGTATTACTTCAATAACAAGGCTTGGATACAAAGATCGGTCTTTGCTCATTATCTCAACGACTTAATAGCATAATGCATAGAGCCAATCGGCATATTCTTCTTTTAATGGATAATGCCAAATGTCATGAAATGGAAAACCTTGAAACCCTTTCTAATGTTCGAGTTTACTTCTTCCTCCTAATACAACATCATATTTACAACCAATAGACCAAGGAATTATTTACAGCTTGAAGGCATTAATTAATGTCGTCATCAATCTGCATATTTTTTCTGCTCAAATATTTCCTGCCATATATCTTATAAAAATTGTATTCCACTTATTGCCAGATGCATTATCGATGAATCTTATGTCAAAATCGACTTGAAGCTTATGAAATTATTACCCCTGAATCTCCTATTCCAAGTTCACTTACCATTCGAGATGCGATTGAATTTTCTGCCGTCGCCGGGATTCTGTAACGATCAAAAATAGTTGGCATCGTACAGGTATACTTCCTCCTTCTATGGCTTGGGATAATGATCTATTAGCAGTTGATCCACTCTCTGATGATGCTGAAGTTGAACAAGAACTCATAGTCCTCATTGACCGAATGCTACATATTTCTGATCCCCTGACCGTGGAAGAGTATATTCTGGTTGATAATCAAGTTGTGAGTAGGAGCAAATGACGGATGAGGAAATTGTCAAGTTCGTAAACAGTGAAGATACTCAAGAGCCAGAGAATAATGAAGAGTCTGAATCCTTGATAAAAGTAAAGGATGCTTTGGA